GCTTGGATGGGAGCAGGGCTTGAACTCAAGCTAATCCTTCAGTACTGCAACACCTATTTTCACCTCTGTTTTTGACGGCCTCTTGCGCTTGACTCTGCGTTTAGGACTGCAAGATGGGAAGGTGGCTACCCAGAGAAAAATCTGGGGTAAGCTCTTTTGACCTTGGATGAAGGTCGCTTGCTGCTCTAGCTCACTGAGCTCTCTGGATTTGGAGGTCAGGGAGCCTCTCATCAGAGGGAAGATCCAGAAAAAAGATTTCATGTTTGGCAAGAAAGAAGTAATGAAAAGATGGGTTTACTTGGATTGGGACTGTGCTAGAATTCAGAGGAAAGATTTCGTTTCTGTTTGCATTCAAAGATGTGATAGTGTATGTAATAGAGTTGGCTTCATCAGCAAGACACTTGTCTAGTTTGAAAAAAATCTAAACATATAAAATGAAATATATATATAATTTGTATTACGTTAGGAAAACACAGTGTATTGTCTTATAAATATGTGGTCTCTATTATACTTGTGAAGTCTAGGAACTAGGAAGATTTCTGCTTGGGAAGTATACTCACACACCTTGGGGAAACTTCTAGCTGCTGGTGCAAATTTCTAATATAAGTATAGTCACCTACAAATTTGCTGTGGCACCATTACTTGTAACTGTAATCACTTTTTCTTTTTTTTTTTTTTTTTTTTTCTTAACTGAATCTCTGTAGTTCCACTGACTTCTAAGATGCTATTTCTGAGTTACAGTGCTCTGACAGTACCGAGTATGACTTCTATGAGTGAGATTATGTACACTGTAATTACTGTAGATGAAATTGGTAGCTGCATTGGTAGCTCTGGGAAATTAAACCTTGGGTTTCTTCAGAGATAAATGTTGAAGTGCTTGTGACAAGGCTTCATCTTTCTATCATTGTTTTTCAGACCTATTCCAGACCTCTGCTGGAGCAAAAATTATCCAGGCTGTCTTTGTAATACATATTTTATTTCTGCTGATATAATAAAGATAGATAACAATTAATGCAAGATTTGAAATGACTGTCGGCCTACATGAGACTTGATGGAGATCTTCGCAAAGACCCTCTTGATTGGTTGTCAGAGATAATTTTCATTTGCTGTCAAGTCGGGCCGTGTGCTAACCTTCAGTCAAGAGGTGAATGATTCTGTACCGGCACATGGAAACTGTTGAATAGTCTTGCTTTAAATAGTCTGTGCTGAACAGAATGCAAAAAAAGACGATTATGAAGAAGTTTGTGGATGATGATACGCGCAGTGAGTTTCAAACTGTGCAGTTTTATACGTATTCTAGGCCAAATTTATGAATGAAGACTCGGCTGCTTCACAGGGATGCACACTGACTTGTCTGCTGGAAGGCATACAACATGCTGAAATGAAAACGAGCAACTACTGGCTCTGAGCAGGTCCTAGAGTTTCACAGAGCTGAAAATACCGTAGTGAAACTTTTTTCGCTGACAGTATTTTCCAGCCTCCTCTGTGCACAATGTCCCTGCCGACTCGGGGCAGCTGAGGCTGCGATTGCTCGTTCAGGCTGAAAGGGGTCCTGCGGGCACTCGTAAAGGGGCTGCGTACCGTGTAGTCCGCAAAGGTTCGCTCTTCTGAGCTTAAACTCTGTGAAACACAACCTCTTAAATTCGAACAAACCTCGTACTTGCTCTTGTCATTACTTTTAGGACAATGAGTTTGTTTGTTTGCTGGCAAGAATCCCTTGCAACTACTTTATTTTTCTCATGCTGTTCTTTTCGTTGTCAGCACTAGTAGTGATCATGTTATAATTCAACTCCCGCTCTGGGCAGGCTTCCTCCTGTATTCACTGAGAAAGTATGCTGGCTGCAAAGATAGGATGTTAATTTTCACAGTTCACATGAACTATAGGACAGAGGATGAGATCAGTATGTTCTCACGATTCTCTCGTAATACCAGCATTTAATGATCCATTGAACTTTTTCCTTTGTGCTAAATAACATGTTTATTTTTCTTCCTTCTTATGGTGATGATAGTAGACACCGTGTAACTGTCTTGCCTTCTCCACCTGCTCTTTTGTGTGTGAATGGCCAGAACGTGCTGCTGATGTCCCTTTGCGCTCTGGGGCCACGGTTCTGTGCTCACCTCATTACATCAGATCTCTGGAATGGAAAGAGGAAGAAAAATGTGTCTGTACTTGTTTGCAAGTTGCTTTTTTAAACGAAAAGATCTCCAAATACTGCCCTTTCTGGGATGAGGAAGAATAGAAAATGAGCATCCAGTTTTCCATGGATCCCGAAGTTTTGATTTGTTGTTGTTCAATGATAAGTCACCACTTTTTTTTTTTCCCCCTCAAGGTATAGCTAACAGAATATATCATCTGCAAAAATAGAATTGTATTTATGTAACTGTGAAGTGGATGGCCCTTTCCTCATCAGTCAGTGACACCAATCTGATTCTGCTCCCAAGTGCAATCAGATTTTATCCTCTCCCCTCCTGCCCTCCACCTCCAAGAAATTTATGGGTAGGTATAGGTAGGTTTTCCTAGCAAGGTAATGCCAGAAATGTCTTCTTTTTTTTTCTTATAAGTTTTATCTTCTTTTTCCAGTAATCACAGTTGATCCCAAACAACTTGCTTTTTAACTACCTGATACTCAGTTTTGGTTCTGGCAGAGCTCTACAGATCCAAGTTGCTTTATCAGGACTAATTTTTTTTTTTTTTTTTAAATTGCATTTTGGTGCAAATAAGTTACAGATGATCTATCTGATAACAGTAACTAATGCACATTAGTATTATGGCTTAATTTTTTTTTTTTTTACTATAAATAATTCTTGTTTGCTTTTTAAAATTTAAGCAAGGGCTGATGTAATGCTGCTGTCACCCTTTAGTTTTGTAAAATATTTGTTGATTGAAATACTATTTATTTACTCCTGACAATGAGTCACCAGCAGACGAATAGATCATTTACTCTGCAGTCAGTTGACGGAAAGTGTTGAAAGCTTACAGAGGGACTGGTCTCTAACAGTTGCATATCACTGTAGTTGTACTTTTGGAGACGGAAGGATATGTTAGAATGGTTCTTTACAGCTAACAGAGAAGTGGTACTGCAGGCTGGTAGTGAAATGCTGTGATGCTCTGGGGAGACAGAGCAAAGCCCTGCGAGCGGCCGTGCCCCTTCTGCCCGACGGGGGGGCTGGCCAAGCAGCGCTGCTGGCTGTGAAACAACCTGTGAACCCACAGTGGGGAAAGAATATTTTGTTTGTTTGTTTGTTTGTTTGTTTTCCCCCCCACTTTATACTTATTATACATCTCAAATTGGATGTTCTTGTACGCAATCATGAGCACGTATCGTCTGTGTCTGATCAGTTTTTCCCCCAGCACAGATATTCTACTTCTGCCATGTCATCGTCTTATTTAAATAAGCATAATTGAAGCACAGATGTGACAAACATTAATTTGCATTTTTAACAGGAGGGAGGATACACAATGTATTTGTGAGTCATGATAACAGTTGGCTTTTCTATCTCAATCCCAGACTTAGGATGGCTTTTTTGGTGTCAGATTTGAAGTGAAATGCTGAAAGTTATCACCCGCACTGTAATTTAAAAATCCATTACGTGCTGTTGTGATGAAGCATCCGGGAAGACTAAGGAGGAGGAAGCATGAAAAAGCTTTTCAGCCTATTCAAGGCAAATACTTATCGAGGGTGTTGTGACAGTGTCTCTGCTTCGATCCTCTTCTGCAAGGTGATTGCTTGTGGGTGTCCCGAGGGGCGTTGGGGAAGGAGGGGAACGCGGGGAACGTCGGGGCTCTGGCAGGAGCCTGACACCCCGCCAGGATTTGTCAGGTAGAGCCACCAAATCCCATCCCTCCCACCCCGTCTCGTGGTTAGCAGTGTTCTGGGCCCAAATCTGTGGGCTGGGGTTTTTGCTGAAAGGAAGGGGGGAAATACAGAAGAGACGTGTTTTCTCTGGCACATTGTGGGTCAAACTGGGAACATGGAAACCTAGCTCTAGTCCAGAACTTCTTGCCCTCTCCGTAAGTCTTCCTTAAGAAAAGTGTAGGAAAATAATCTTACTAACTTGACATTTTTGTTCATTTTGATGCTGTCATTGCCTGAGTACATAGAAGTAACATTTGTTGGAAACGTTCTTTGTAAAAAGTATGTCTTGAGCTGTTTAAACCGCCATTGTCAAGCAACAGAGGCCTAAATTCCAGTTGGTGTGAAAATAATGGACAGGAATATATTTTTCATGTGTATTTTTTTAATTATTATTTGCTGATCACCATTAATTAACTCATCAATGCAGAAGTACAGTTCCATGATCACGAGTATGAAACTGAGGGCAAAGGGAAGCAGGAGTGACTAATTGAGATTCATCTTTTGCAAATGTCTGAAATTATGAAATAGAGAAACAATCTGACGGGAAAAAATGATGGCAACAGTAACCAAATATTTAGTATTTGCTGTTGGTTGACTTTAGAGAATTTCTTCTTCAGCTCAGATGAGCTCTGTTACCCTTCCCTGCACATCCTTGCTGTGTCAGAGCCTACACAGCTCATTGTGGTACCTTGCATCACCCTGCCAGGACAAGGTACCTGCCTCTTACCTCTTGTTGCCCCTAAGCTGGGCACCCAAGTTGAACTTCAAACTGAGTTTTTCAGAATGGCATATGTTTTTTTGGAGGATGAATGAGTTCTGTGTTGCATCTGTGAATGAACACTGGATTCTTAAGATGTTTATATGGCATTGCATATGAGCTGGTACTGGATATATATATATATTTCCACATTATTTTACAAATGTATTATGGGTATTATTTTGAAAGTGTTGCTCAAGTGGCTTATACAGTGGCCAGAAGGATTAAATTCTATCCATTTGGAGATCTGATACCTCAGTCTGAAATATCTGATTATCATCTTTAAAAAGACTTTCAGCGTGTTTTTAATTTAAAGCTGAAACAAAAGTTAGAGGTTGGTTGGTAGTGCAAATAATACTTCCTGATTATTTTATTTCCATCTGTAGAATAAAAAACCTAACAGTGGAACTCAAAACCAAGCAAGATGAATTAAAAACTGTGAAAGAAGATTTGCAGTATTTCCAAGAGGAGAAGGAAGCTGCCTATAAGCAATCGCAAGTGCTCAGGTAAGATCCCCCAAAAAAAAGCCGATGTTGTGCCACTGGGAACGTCTGCAATCAGGTGAGAGGATTCAGCGGGGACGCAGGCACAGGCACGGAGAATACTGTGCGTGAGAAAAGTGCTGAAACATTTTTAACAATTTAAATGTGACGACTCCAGTTTCTCAATATAAAGTGATTGCGCAGTTGTCTGTACAGTTTTCTTCATTTATATGTATAAGTTCTAAATTAACATTTAGAAGGGAGAAACTTATTATATATTCAATATACAGCGTATTTAATATACTAAATTCTTGTAACCCCATATAGTATAAATGATCATGTAACAGAAAAGTGGTTGTCAGGTTTAGTTCCCAAGTTTACTAACAGCATTTTGTCATTTTAAAAATGTATGTCTGGGATTATTTTTCTGTCTTGCAGAAATACTTTGGAACACCATTGCTCAACTCTGAACAAGGCTGTCTCGCTGTTTCCTTTTATTAGAAGTGAACTAGACAATATTAAAGAAGTCATCTCCAGTAACCTGGAGAACTGGGCTGCCATGAAAGAAGAAATTTTTCTACAAATAAAAACTGTTAGCAAAGAAGCTTTGACGGGTAAATCATCTTGCAGTAACTTTGGGCAAGATAAAATATTTTTTTTGGTAGTTGAGTGTAGCACAGTAAATTAGAAGGTAAATTGAATTAGGTCATTTCTATTTCTGACACTAGCTTGTCCAAATCTAAGGATTCGAAGACCTTATGTACTGCTGTGGCACCACGTGAGCCGAGTTGAACTCGGTCCAGTTCCCATCGGATTAGTGCGCCAGACCAATTGTTTGGTTAGCCAAGTCAGGCTGAAATGGAAGTAATATAAACACTTCCCACGATTTAAGAGACAAATAGTATACTTACTACGAGCACACGGATATGATTGCAGCGCAACGACCTGGCGATATTTCAATCTGCCTTGCGTCTCCCGTTGCCAGTTTTTTTTGCACGTGCTCCCGTACACCCGCGATACTATGTGGCTGTGGTGTGTTACCCTTTTGTGGAGCTGCTCGAGGGTCCTGCCGTGCTGCCTCCCCGCCGTGTGAGCAGGCTGCACCTCGTCCCCTGACCAGCCTCCCGGTGTACGCGTCGGGTTGCCTTAAGTGCATAAGCATACGAGCAAACCTGCACCCGGCATGTAGCATCTACTCCTTCCTTCCGTTTCTGAATAAGAACAAGTAGTACCCAAATACAGCCGTCTTTATCCGAGGGGTCTTGGGGATTGAAAGGGGCACGGAGGAGCAGCCCGTGGGCTGAGAATAATTCCCTTGGCCCACAGCCTGCTTCCTGCTCAAACAAGGGCAGCCTTCAGGAAGAGAGAAGCTGGGAGCAAGTCACAACCGATGGCTTGTTCGTGAAGGTCGTGCCCAGCCCTCAGGCTGGTGGTCGGGCCTGGAAGCTCGGATTTATCCCTGAATGCCATTTTCGCTCTGCCTCAGTGGAGAGATGAGTTTTGCTGGGGAAAAAAAGCGTGCGGTGGTGTCATCACAGACTGGAGCATCCCAACAGGCCCTGTGCAGACTTTTGCAACCTGAACGGCCTTTGGACATAATTTTCATACATGTATTTCCTTTCCTTACAGTTTTCCGGTGTTCTCTGTATGCGTGAGTTGATGAGCTGCTGTTTGCTCTGGAGGTTAGTTTTGTCAGGGTTATAAGGGAGCAAAGTAGTCGGTGAGCTGATGTCACACTTTTTGTCCTTGTGCAAAGGGTTGTACAGGCACGGTGGGCGATGTGCATCTCCCAAAGCCTTCTGCTGGCGACACCCTGTGAGCTCCAGTGCAGATTCACAGCTCAAGTGAAACCCGTGCGCGCGGAGCGTCTCGGAAAATATGTAGCTTCATTTTAAATAACAGCTCCCCAGTAGCCTACGCTTCCTGTGAAATCAGAAGTAATTTTTAATGTTTTCAATGATTGCTTTGTTCTGACTGGGAAGCAATAAGCGGGGCAGCTGCGCCGCAGGAGCGAGCAGGCACTCATCCTGCTGAGACAGCGCCTGGGTCCACACAGAGAGGTCGGGGCGTCCTGAGCCCAGGCAGCGGATTCCAGGAGGGAGGGCTCTCGCCTGCTGAAGATGAGCGCGACCGGAAAAATCACTCTTTAGAATTCAGTTTTTGTGAGAACAATTAATGTAAATGTCAGTGTCAATATCGCGCATTTTGATTCATGACTTCATCTCCTGATTAGACCGAGCGCAGAAAGCATTGCCTGTCCCTAAGGGTTCCTCTCTTCCTCTGCTCATTTTCTGCCGACTTCTAGCTAATAAAGGGAATATGAAGATGCATTTCTGCACACATCTTCAGGTGCAGAGAGATTGACAATGATCTAAGGCCTCTTTTCCAGAGTATTCCTTGTTTTATTTGTCGTAATACTGCAAATATATAGAATATCTGTATGGAAGCAGAAATGCAGCCTGTCAGGTTCTCTTAACAATTATACATCCTATGTATCCCCAGTTGCATTCAACATATTCCATTGAGAAAAGTGTCACACTGTGAATATTATATACATCCTTAAATCTGGCTTTCTAGATCAAAGCAATTTAGTCACACTTTTTTTTTTTTGGGGGGGGGGGGGAGGGCTGTGAGTGCCACTTAAAAGCTTTTCTGTTCTGTTTCATGAATTGTTCATTATTAACACACGGTAGCATACTAACATACAGTATTTTTTTTTGTTTATTTTACCTTACTGGTTTTGCAACAAGCTTTTCAGAACTTGTTTTTCATTCAGATTTTGAGAAGGATGATGTTAAATGAGGTGCTACTCTTTATGTCTAGACCAGTCTTCTTGGTTAGCTTGAAAACAGTTTATAAAAGCCCTTGTATATGTACATCATTTAGCCTTGGTTAATTAGTGGGAAGTAGAAAGAAGTATAAGAACTTAATATCTTTCGGTATTTACATCACTTAAATCAACTTATTGTTAGATTAAGCGAGGAGTACTTGGGAAAGATTGTAGATAATGAAAATGTTTGCACCACAGAAAGAATTTAAAATTTGCATAAGCAGTGTATGAAACATGTAATAGCTGACTTGACAATAGAATTAGGCTTCATCTAGCTTGAGAATTGTCATTATTAATGTAAATAAAAGTGATACAAGTTCTCTGGACAACTGAACATTTAGAGCTGTAGTTGGAGAAGGCATAGAAAAGAATTGCAACTGCTTTTGGAAATGTTCAGATGCACTCATCAGGGATAACTGAACTCAGGAAAAGGATTATGAAAATGTAGGAGACCCACTATACCCCACCCATGATTTACTTATTTACTGTGCAGTAAAAACTAACTGGGAAACTTCCTTGGGACTGCTGCTCTTCCATGTTGAAGAGCTGATGAGAGAGAGTGGCAAAGCCTGTCTTTTATATAATGAAGACACACTTTGTGATTACTTTCACAGCAGTAGTCATCTAAGGAGTGAGGAAATAGAATGTAATACTCATTCCCAAACATCTTCTGAACCAAAAGTTTCAAATACAGCTTTAGCAGAGGCTAACCCCCTTGATACCTTCTCAAATTAATTTCAAAATGAGTCTGCAATTGTTTTTGTGTGTCAACAATGGTTTGTGTATCTTCTTAAAATAAAAGGCTCAGATTCAAATATCTCTGTCACCTGTTGTTATTTCATTTGGAATATATACATGTATTTTAATTTGATTTTTTTAGATCTTAGAGGAAATATGTATTATTGCTTAGAATAATATTTGTCAGTAATACATGTGTGGCTAAGTACAAGTTCTTTGTGTAAAGACGTATTGCATGAAGCACTTTTTGGCCCTCTGCATTCTCAGCAAAAGTGTTGCTATTGAACGTGGCTTATGCCGATCCATACCCAAACTGAGGTTACAGAATGCTGAAGTCCTGAGGTTGTAAATCGGGTGTAATACTTTATAGTGAAGAAGGTAAATTTGACAACAGTCTGTATGACTTTTTTTTTTTTTTCCCCTCCTCAGAAATACCCAAATTGAATCAAAGATTAGCAAAATCCCAGAGAGAGAATGAATGCCTCCAAGAAAAAGTAAAACATCTGACATTGGTGGCCGACACAGTTGAGCTGAAAACTCAACAGCTTCAAACTTCACTTCAGCAAGGGAATGAGCTACAAAGTAGGTGCCGTGAACTACAAAAGGAAACATTAGGTAAGAGAATTTTGATATTTCAAGCAAACTTTCAAGTCAAGTGAAATACAAAAGAAAGTTTTTTTTAAAAGCACCAAAGCTGTGGCTGTTACTGTGAAAACACTCAGCAGCCAAAGTCAGGCCTGAATAAAATGTGGATGTTGTGCAGTCAGAAGCCAGTCTGTCAGTCTGAGGAGTCTGTTACCCAGCTGGGAGCATGAGTCAGCTGAGATGGGGGGAAGATGAAGGAAGGGAGGAAAACAGTGAAGATGATGGTAATACAATTATGCTGTTACTTGTCAATCCTATGTAAAACATCAGGGAGGCCGGGAAGGATTTTGGGCTATCAACATCAGAACTGAAAAGGTTAGGCAAAGCCAGTCTCTTTTCTCATCAATTCATTAAACTTGAGACTGCCTAATGATTTGCCCTTGATAGTGTGTCTCAAGAATTTAGAGAGTCCTCTTGAAAACTGTAAGAGCAGTGATGGCACTTGAAATTATAATATCTTGTGAGCTCTGTTGAGACAATAACTCATTACCAAAAGATTATTTATGTTAGTATCACTTGAATCTCTTTTCTCTTTAAAGCAGTATTGGATTTATGGTGCTGGCTCAGAGACTTTTAAGACCTTGAAAACTTATAGAGGTTGAGCTGTTTCGGGCACAGCTCTGAGTCATCAAATTGGCACAGCAATTACCACGCTGCCTTATGCACAGTATGTAATGTCAAATTTAAAGCAGTAGGTCTCAGTGCTAGTCATGGTGAAGGAATTTCACTGATCCTTCAATACCAGTGATAATATCAAATGTGAAACTGCAAAGTAGGAGACTGCAGATCCCACCCAATGAGTTACCATCAACTCGTGTTGCTGGGATCACTCTCTATTTTTGTCACTGTATACCAATCCTGTTAGGAAAGCTCCAGCAGTGATGTGTTTAAATGGTAGAAATGAGCAGATAACTCTACATCATTTTCCAGACAGTGTCCACATAAGAAATAGACTTCCTTTTTGTGGTATTTATTAAAAAAAACCCTAACTTTAAAAGAATGCAAAGTCAGTTAAATTTTTCTCTGGCATGATTCTTCTGTGGACTATTCACAGCATACACTTTTGTCTTTTTTTCTCTTGGGGAGCTGCTAAGCATTCCAGTGTCTCAAGAACTTGCCCGTGATGTTTTTTGGTAGGCTCGTTGTCTGATTGTAGCTACCTCTTGTTACTGAGGCCTTTGTTCAGAGTTAGCTCTGGCAGGCAAGATCTGGGGAGAGGGTTGCCATAAAAGTGTTAAGCTGTCAGTCATTAGCCACAATATTTCATTCTGAAGACCTGAGTAAATGGAAAAAAATTCACTGATTCTATTTAAATTTCCTTTTCCGAGACAATCTTGAGCACACTGTTGGGCAGTATGAAAATTTGTACTTTTTTGTTCGGCATGTATGTAAAATCACTAGGAGAGGTTTTTTTTAGGAGACATGAAATAAAATGCTGGTAGCACATAAATGGCATCTTCTGTGTTGATTTTTTTCAAGCAAAGTAAACAAGCTCAATATTATATGTACACATATATGTATTATATATCTGAGAAGTGCCTGGGTACACAATAATCATAAAAAAGCCTGAATCCCGAATAAGCGCAAGATAATGTTGCTAGAAAAGACAAAACTGAAGAAATTAACTGTTTGCACTGATTAACTAAATCATGTTGCTTGTCCCAAGAGCATAAGGTTGCCCAGGACTCCTCCAGTTTTACTTGAAACTTGCTTGGAAAAGATGCTAAAAGCGCATTAATTTCTTTTCAAAAGACAAGTGTGTTTGTCTTCCCTTGTGGTTCATGTTTTATCCAGATAATCTCTGTACGTGTATAACTGCCAGGTTTGGCTGTTAGAATGCCACAGTCCAAAATTTGGAAATTATATCCTTTAGAATATTCTGTGTGTTTTGTTTCTTTAATGTACACTTGCAGTCTTTACTTATGCTGAAGTAACCTTAGGGACTCAGCTGAGAGGCTCTTATTGTACTAGAAATCGCGCAAGTGGATAGTATCACTCAAAGATAGCCAAGGTGACTGGCTTAAAACCAGCATGAGCGCCACAGATCCTGTGATAAAACCTACAGCGATGATTTATTGAGGTTGATTAAGCTTTCCTTTCCCTGCCAGTAGAGTAGCACTTAGGAAAAGAAAGTTTGTTTGGTCTTCAGTGGGGTCTTGTGCCATGCAAAGGAACTGTCTGAAAGTTCATTTGTAAAGCGATCTGGATATTCTGCTACGAGTGCTGATAATTGCAGTGATTTACATGTCACTGATGATTGTCACAGGTACTCTGTCCAGAATCTGCACACTAACGTTTTGGTGTGTGCTTCTTGGGTCTTGATATAGTGTGATGTTTTGGTCCCACTGTTGTGGGGTTTTTTAAGAATCGGTGGACGTAAAATGGTCTCTTTGCCCTAGCAATCGTCTGTCGTCTTTGTTCAATATAACCAGAAAACTTGTTTCCACTTTCTTTTTGTCAATATCTTATCTTCTATCTTTGTATAAATAGACACAAGTAATGATAAGTCATAACCAGTTTGATCATTTATTATTTACCTTCCTCTAGAAATCTGAGCTGCTGCAATTTTCAAAATGGGTCTACCACCTGCTTGCCTTGAGGAGAATATAAAGAAATTTGACATGCATTTTTTTAATGTGGAAAAATTAGTCAAAATAAAATAATCTCAGTGCAAAAATGGCTCCTTCTCAAGTACACATTGACATTTGTGTTGAAAAGTGGTTTAATCTTTTTTTAATATGAAATAAAAAACTTGTGGGTGATGCAAGTTAAATTGTCAGTGCTGGTGTGCAGACTGTTGTAGTTCCTTAGGAACCGTCCTTCATACAATTTCTGGAACTGCAGATTTTACCTTTTTATAAGGTGCCATGTTCGGTATAGCTCAGATAACTTTGCACATTGCTGAGTTAAATTTTTCTGGTGAGGTGGCTGTATGTGGGCATGTGAAGCTGTCTGAGGATTCCGCGGTAGTTCACAGGCATTCTTGGGAGCTGGAATGTTGGCACTCGCTGCTGTTGTAGAAAGTCTAAAGTCCATTTAATTCAGTATCCTGTCCTCACCGCTGAAAAACACGGCGTGGTTCAAAGGAAGGAGCAGGAACTCTAGAAGAGCAATTACAGGATAATCTATCCTCCTTACATGTCTTGTCTTGATCTAGGAGGGCCTTGAGCATAATAAGACAATCTTGTAAGCTTTGAAATAAGTGGTTTAGTATTATTACATAAGATATTTGTATTGTTACATTTATGCTGATATGAAAATCTACCCTTAGTTAGAGCTCCCTTTTTGGTTTTGTAAAGCTGTTTACTTCAGAGGTTCCTGTGAACAATGAGTTCATAGTTTGTTCACGTGCATTGTAAAAATACACTTTCTTTTTCAGTTTTGCCCACCTTTAACTCCATGGAGAACTGCTTTGTTATTATGTTAGAAGACCAGAGAAAGATGCTCACAGACTTTAATTTTATTGACTTATTTATATTTGCCATTATTTGGTGTGTTATACATTTTTGTGATGCTTACATGGCTTTCTAGTTCATCTTTTCAAAATCTGAATTTCCTTCTCTGAGTTAGCATGTTGCATCAGGCCATCACAGCAAGCAGTTAGTTATATTTAGGCTCTAATTTCTTGCCTTTGATTGATATGCATAACTTAGGACAATAACTGTAGTGTGTATATATATATATATAAGTACCACATCATGAGCAGGTTCAGGCTAGCTCACGTAGAGCATCTCTACTTTCTGTGCTGAAAAAATCCGAGTTTACAAAAAAATACCTGGTCTAGAGGCCCTATTCCAGTCTGTGGATCATCAGGGTTCTTTCAAGCATTGCTATATAAGAAAACCAAGATTGCTCAACATCTCCTGGATGCTCACTGTTTTCAGTGGCTTAGAATATTACCAAACCTAACTAAATAATTTTTGACTATTGATTTGAGTAAAAATGGTCACAGCTTTCACAAAGGGGGGAAAGCTGGAAATGTTTTTGGATTTTTATGTGAAAACCTTATGCTGCAAAAATTTTGTTGAAAGCCCCATGAACCTTCTGTTCTCCAAAAAAAGGACTTTGAGACGGAAGGTTTGACAGTGTTCTTGACGCAGAGAACCAAGTTAAACTGACTATTAAGCCTTTGAAAACATCGCATAGGTATTTGTTGGCGTGGTGGTTAAGCACTCTGTGATTTGGATTTATGAGTCTCCAGCGTGCAAGGGCTGGGCAGCGCTTTCCCAAGCCTTGCTTGCTGCGGGGTGCGGGACGGAGGACGGGGAGGCCGTGTCTGCCGGGAGCCCCGGCCCCTGGGGCAGAGCCCAGGCGGGGACGTGGTGATGGGGCTACCGGGGAGCTTGGCTCGCCGGCTGCCCTGTGAGCCAGCTGGGGAGCACGCCCCGAGCACTGAGATGCCAGTCCCAAAAGCTGGCGTGCTTTTTGTCCGGCGTGGTGACAGACACGGGGAAACTGTGGGAGAGAACCGGTATGCGATTAAATCCTGAACGAACACTTTGCGCAGTTAATAAAGCATGAAGAAGCAGCTGATGTTTTTATCGTAGAAGGGTTGGGGTGGGAAGGGACCTTATAGCCCCCCCAGTCCCCCCCCCTGCCCCGGGCAGGGCCCCCTTCCCCCAGCCCAGGGTGCTCCCAGCCCCGTCCAACCTGGCCTTGAACCCTTCCAGGGAGGGGGCAGCCACAGCTGCTCTGGGCACCTTGGGCCAGCGCCTCACCCCCCGCACAGGGAACAATTTCTGCCTTAGATCTCATCTAAATCTCTTTTCTTTCAGTTTAAAACCATCACCCCTCATCCTACCCCCACCCCCCTGATTCACAGTCCCCCCCCACCTCTCCTGCCCCCCCTTTAAGCCCTGGGAGGCCGCTCGAAGGGCTCCCCGGAGCCTTCTCTTCTCCAGGCTGAACCCCCCAACCCTCTCAGCCTGTCCCCATAGGGGAGGTGCTTATATGTTTGACTGCAGCGCTTA